GAAGATGAAATGTATGAAAATATTGAAAGTGTTAATTTCAGAGTATTAAGTTGGCTCATGGTCGTACGAATTTTAATTTGCCGAAATTCATTTTRTTATTAAAAATATGAATTAAAATATATTTTAAAAATACATATGAACTTATATAGGTATCATAATGTGATGTTTTGTGAATACGATTAGCATATATGGTTGATTGGTTGGTTAAGATTTGAATACCAAAACTTTCGCCTAGAAATAAATAAATAAATTTGCTTTGCAAAATGTTGCCCTTATTTAGAATGGATCATGAATAACSTAGCTGATAGCCATTCTTTGATCTACAGTGTCTAAGAACTATTTACACAGATGAAATACTGTTTTCATAGAAAACTTTGTTTCAAGCAATAAGCAGGAGATGAGTCTATTTTAAGCCTCCAAAATAAATAATTTGTTTATATGAAATAAGCAAAATATCGCACACACAAAAGGAGCAGCAAAAGAAATATTGAACAGTCAAAGTAGTTCGGTGATATCAAGTGATGAATTTTTTTTGTTTGTTTCAAGCAAAATTACGCAGAAAAAAATTGGTTCTTTTAAATAYATTTCGAAATTTTTTAGTTTTCAATGATTAAGTGAACAGTGTTGTAATCTGAAGAAAATTTTGTAATCATGTTTTGTCAAATATTCTGAACTTTTCCGATGAAAATAGTTTTTTTAGATAATTGTAGCATACGATGCACTCGTAAATGTATCAGGATAGAAAAAGTTCAAAGGTTGTGTTATAATAWGATTAATTATTGTCTGTTAGATACTCCTTTTCGGCGAAAAATTCATAAACTGCGGTGAATCGATTTTTGACTTCACGATTTGAGCTATATCACTGTAAAAGAGTTTAGCTTACTTCCGTATCCGTTKAGGACAAAGCGTGTCTAAAATATCTAATAAAATGGTTGTTAAACCTACAAAATTTTCTAATAAACTTAAWAGGTGGATGCCGTATGCTGTAAAATAAAATAAAATAAAAACCCAGTGTACACTATTGTGCTTCCCTGCCATTTCAACCAGGACATTTGAACATTGTTTTCGGTTGAACAGAGCTGATCGAAAGTCCACAACATATGCACCAATGTTGACCTTYTCGAGAGGAAAGTAAATTCATATATTCGAGGATAAGGGGTCAATAATCGTTTGAATTTTCTGCCTTATATAATAGTAAGAATAGAAAAATGTAACATGTAAAGTTATGAACGTAGCGATATCCTGAACCAGCTCAAAAAACCTAAATAGATCAGACTAAATCCTACCAAGCTTTAATTTCAATAGTCAAAGTCAGTAGGGAGAAGAATACTTTTTCTTCTTCACATAACTTAGCCAGTTCAGCAGCTATCTCTTGATTCGCTGAAATATATCTCGTACAGCTAGGACGCGGTTGTTGAGGCCATTGATATATTATTAACAAGGCGTACACCAGCAGATATACACTCCCTATTTAGCTCTGCAGCTTGTATTATTTTMTTCAGCAGTARACTGAAAAAGTTACAGATTGCTTATTAGAGGCAGTTCCTTTTCGTGTTGTCGAAGTCGGCTTTAAAATTGGTGTATGTCGATCTTACTCTCATGGGCCTTTTCCATGACTTGGCGCATGTTGAAAATCTGGTTGATAGTTGACTTTTCGTGTCTAAACCTACACTGATAAGGACCAGTCAGC